GTGGGCGGGGGGGGGCAGGCCCGGGGGGGGGCCCCCCCGCCCCCCGCCGGGTCCCTGCGCCTCGCCGGCCGCGCAGGAGCCACGCGTGGGCCCGCCGGGAGCAGGGGGAGAGCCCCGCAGGGACCCCGCCCGCCTCCGCCCGTGCACGCTCGTGTGCGTTCCCGTGCAGACAGACGCATGCCCGTGCACGCGTGCGTGTTCCCAGCGCCCCTGCGTGCGTTCCCGGGCCCACGGGTATTCCCGTGCACACATGCACGCGCTCCTGTGCACACGGACACGTTCCCATGCGCACCTGCACAGTCCATGCACACACGCATGGACACGTGTTCCCGTGCACATTCCCATGCACACGCGCATGTGTTCCCATGCACACGTGCACATTCCCATGCACACGTGCACGTTCCCATGCACACATGCATGTGTTCCCATGCACACGGGTATTCCCGTGCACACATGCACGCGCTCCTGTGCACACGGACACGTTCCCATGCGCACCTGCACAGTCCATGCACACACGCACGTGTTCCCGTGCACATTCCCATGCACACGCGCATGTGTTCCCATGCACACGTGCACATTCCCATGCACACGTGCACGTTCCCATGCACACATGCATGTGTTCCTGTGCACACATGCACAATCCACGCACACATGCATGTGTTTTCATGAACACGGGCTCATTCCCGTGCACACATGCACATGCTCCATGCACACACGCATGTGTTCCCATGCACACGTGCACATTCCCATGCATATATGCACATTCCCATGCACACATGCACATTTCCATGCACACCTGCATGTGTTCCCATGCACACATGCACATTCCCATGCCACACATGCACAATCCACACACACACACATGTGTTCCCATGCACACGTGCACGTTCCCATGCACACATGCATGCGCTCCATGCACATTCCCGTGCACACCTGCATGTGCACCCATGCGCACACGTGTGCATGCACGCTCAGAGCCCAGGGCCACCGTGCCCCAATCCCCGCCTCCCCCCCCCGCTCCTGCCGTGCCCACCGCAGGGTGAGGAGCGGGTGGGATCGGCTGTGCCGAGGTGCCAATGCTTCACGGGGGGGCGGCGTGGCGAGGCGAGGGGGGCACAGCGACGAGGTGAGGGGGGGCACAGTGGCGAGGCGGGCACCCCTTGCCTTTTAAGCCTCCGGCCTTTGGGAAGCCACCCGATTCCTCGGCACGAGGCCTCAAGGCCTCGCGACATGGAAAGACTTTCAGCGCCGGCGGTGCCGTGGCAATCGCTCGCCGCGCAGCCTCCCCCGCGCCCGCCGGCCCCGTATCGCCCTCCTCCAGACTAAACAGCCTCGCCCAGCGCGGGACGGGCAGCGCAGGGGGTTGCTTGATGGGGGGGAGACGTTCAAGCCCCCCACCACCACCACCCCGGCACCTTGGGGAACCCGGCA